AGCGGTTCCTGGACTTGTCATAAACGAATGCTTTTTCGTCAAAGAGCGATTTAGCAAGATGTGCGCCCGAGAAGGTCCGCACACCGTCTCAAGTCAAGTCAAAGAGAAGAGCGAAGCACAAACTCACGGAATGCTAGGCTCGAACCACTGCAAAGCCTGAAGGCCTGTACACGCAGTGAGAAAGCGAGGCCGGCATAAAGCACCGCCTGCTACTAAGAAAAGCGAACCCCAGGGTTCCGCAGAAAACACTTGGTGGTGCATGCATGGTAGCTGAGAAGTCCGACATGACATGCTTAGCCACTCTTGTGAAAACTAAGGACAGCAGCACTACAAGCTCCACTGCACAGGAGAGAGAGCCCAGCCTCAGTAGGACTCGTAGTGACAGCTCAAAACAGTTGCCGCCCGTCGAAGACACCGGTTGGAAGGCACCTTCATGTGGACCCTTGTCGTCAGGGGCCACCAGGTGCTGCGGCACGCTCCCGAGGGCGAGTGCCTTTGGTTGTGAGGTAGTCGTGGTAGGCCGTTGCAATGGAAGCGGCAGCTTCGATTGCTTTCACCTCCCACTCTGTGTTGCTTTGGACTTGTCGGGCCCACGCAAGGCGGCCGGAATTGCACAGTCGTCTTGCCATGCAGGCACCAGCAGCCTCGTCAGCAGCAGTGTTCAGGGCCCGGAGCCGAAGTGCGCAGTGTCCTTCGGGTGGTTTCCAAGAAGGTTTTTTCCCGTGTGAGGGTGTCCACAGAAACTTCACGGAAACGCCTTGACCACAAAGCTGTAGACGAAGTACACGAATCTCCGCCAGGACAATCGCCAAGTTGAAGCCACCGCCAGCCTCGATGGCTTTCAAGGCCGCCTCGCAGTCGACAACAAAGAAGACCCTGGCACAAGACCAGGGCCGCCCAGAGGTGGAGCTTGTCACCGCCGGGTGCAGGGCCCTGAGCATGTAGCAGATGGCAGTGACCTCGAGACGGTAAGACTCCTGGTCCTCGAGGTCGTCACCGAAGGCAAGCGTGACCGTGGGCTGCTGCACTGCAAAGCCCATGGCACCCACAGCGTGTTTGCTGGAGCCGTCTGTGGCAAGGTAGAGGGTGGAGGCGTTGTAGTGCAGCGACACCGCCTCCGAGAGGTCATCCTCGAACGACGCTTTGTCGACCATCACCGGCGGTGGGGGGAGACGTCCAGAAGGTAGAGCGAACAATCTCTCGGATCCGCGATGGAGCGGAAGAGTCAAGTCGCCTCGGAGAGGGGCGAAGTACTCACACGCCCAGCAGAGGTGTGGGCGAGAGGGGGACTTCTTGCCGCAGGCACAGTACTGTCTCTCGTGGGTGGGCCCAAAGCCCCCTCCAGCGTTAAAGTGCCAGTTGCTAGCACCAGCCGCCAGCGACGCCAAAGTTAGGTTGCGATTGGAGCCAGCCGCCTCGAAGAGCAACTTATGGCCGCGAAAGGCAAATTCAGCAGAAGGATCCGGCGACGGGAGGTCCAAGCCAACGGCACAGTCCTCCGGGCGGTTAGACCGCTTCCAGAGACGGGCTGCCTTAGCAACGTAGAGCTTGCGGTATAGTGGAGCTGCAGCCAGTAGCGCGCACCGTCAAACGACTCCCTGCCAACAAAGAGACGCCGTACAGTCCCCGAGGGGTCGTGACAGCAGAGTGCCTTGGCGGGGGACTCGAACCACCAGTTCAAACGAGTGAGGAGTTCAGAAGCGCGAGGGAGCAGTCGTAGAGCACCATCCTGCAGCTCAGTGATGGCCAACTCTTCCGTCCAGGCCTCAGGGGTGGTTATGCGGCGCCACAGAGTGCGAAGAACCGCCATGTCTAAACTGTAGCGGGGCTCGAGGTGCCAACTGACGTTCTCAAAGAAAAGCACCTTAGCCGCGCCATGGCCCGCTGTGTACTCCATGCAGAACTGGACCTCGTGGTAGAGCTCTTGAACCTCCAGAGGGTCAGGCTCAGCGAAGGCCGCGGCCCAAGTGAGAGCAGGCATGACCAACGAGAGGATCAGTAGGCGTGCCCGCTTGGTGCTGAGCTTGAGTCCACGCAAGGCTCGAAGCCTCAGCGTAGCCTTGCGCACGGAGAACCTGAGGAGACGCCACTCGCTCTCCAAGGGCACCGTCACTCCCAAGGACTCCAGGTCGTGGGAGTGCTTATATTGGAGCTCTGCGGCGAGAGCACCAGCAGCATGGCATCCCGGAGGAGAGACCACGGCACACTTAGGCAGGGAAACCTCCAAAGCAAAGACCTTGTCAAAGTGGTTGGAGCGGAGGACCGCACGTTTCAAGTCCTCAAAGGTCCCGCGAGGACGCAGGAGAAGAAGGCGGTCGTCCACGTAGCCGTACCCCGTAAGCTTGTCAAGCAGGTCTTTGTTGGAGCCGAGGGTGAAGCAGCACCAGGCGTGTGTCACCGCAGCCGCTATCACCGGTGAGAGTGGGCAACCTTGCGGCAGCCCTCGCCGAGGATGTCGCCATGTGGAGCCGAGAGCTCCATTCAAGAAGAACAAGCGCTGTCCGTGCTGGCAAGAAAACTCAAACAGGCGAACAAGCTGGGGAGGTGCACGCAGGTGTGTCAGGACCTTGGCAGTAAGGTCATGACCTAAGGCATCAAAGAAGCCCGCAACGTCCTGTTGGACTGCGCCTCGGCATCCTTGAGTCAGTTCCCTCTGAACCTGGGCAAGTGCAGTGGCCACTGAGCAGCCCGACAGACCGCCAACGTCACAAGCAAGCTGCCACGACCTCGTCCAATCACGGAGCTGACGGGCAATGATCTTGCCCCCCGCCCTCCACATGATGGGCAGGACCGTTATCGGCCTCGACTTGCCGTTGTCTTTCCACAGCAAAGAGGTGCGACCCCTTGCCCAGGCCCGTGGAAAACGGCCAAGCTCAAGGCACCGGGTCCACAACGACGCAGCAAGCTCCCACCAGAGGCCAGGGAGCCACAACAGGGTCGTGGCCGCCCAGCCATCGGGGCCAGGGGATTTATTACGCATTGTAGCCACCGCGCGTTTGAGGTTTGGGCCAGTGACCTCAAATCGAAAGGCATTGAGCTCCTTAGGTTGCGGAACATGGGCCAGGATCGAGTCAATCTCCTCCGCGGTTCCGTGTGACCTGGCCGCCCATTTATCCATCCAGAGCTGCTCCTGAACGTCCACTTCCACCGCAGGGTGCCTGCCATCAGTGGGGAGGCGGCCTGCTGCCAGCTCCTTCTCACGTGTGATAACATCATCGGCACGGCGCTTCACGTAGGCCCTAGCCACACCAATGTCGTCACCAGTCTGTCGCTTCCAAGCTTGCTTGGCCGCAGTCCTCCTGCTTGGTGTAGGCGTCAACAAGGGGAGTGACTTCCCTGGTCATGTGCTCCCCAACTTGTTGGAAAAACCCAAGCTCCGGGACCAGGGCACGGACTCCGCGAAGTGACCGAGTGATGCGATCACGAAGCCGTCGATCGAAAGGACGATGTTCAGCCACACGGAGGCGAGTTTGAGCAAAGCTCGCAGCCCAGGGGAGCGAACGGGGCTTTTGCCAGGTTGGGCCGGGATCGGCTCAGAGGGAAGCCACTCAGAAGCACGCGGTGTAGCCCGAGAGTCAACTTGACAAAGGCAGTCCTCGGCAGCGTTGGAGAGCTCAGCCCATGCCTGGTCGACCGCGCCTGACTGCAGGGCCTGTTGGAAGGGGGCCCACTCCCAGGTGTCGAGGAAAGCAGCGATCTCGGAGGTATTAAGGTCAGAACGGGGAAGTCGCCGTCTGGGGCCTCGACGGCCAAAGGGAGCCTCGAAGTCGTAGCCATAGGAGACTATGACATGGTCACTAGGACCATCAAGATGCTCAAGCTTGCAAGCGTGGAGTAGAGGATGCCGTCGCGTGTAGGTCTTGACCGGGGCAACAGGTGTCACCAGCAACAAGCATTCCAGTAGAAACGTATTCCAGAAGGATCGGGTGCTGCTGAGTCAGATTAAAATCACCAATGGCAATGAATCTGAAACCGCTGTGCAGTGCATGCTGAAAGATGTCCTCAGCCTGAGCCGCCGCCTGCTGCTCAGCGCCCGCCTGGAGGTAGAGGCCGGTCACCATCACCGATTCAACGCCTCCAGTCGGGCTTGTCACGTCGAGGATCGCTGTTGCACATCGGCCGTAGGCCTCTGTCACTGGGAGCATGGCAGGTCTCAAAGGGATGCTGCTGACGATGGCCACCTTGCACATGCCCTCCACCGGAGGAGAGAGCACTGCGTAGCGACCAAAGGCCCGCCAGGCATTGCAGAAACCAACCGCAGAGTACTCGTGAATGTCGACTTCAGGGATGACAACAATCTCAAGCTGGTGTGTACACATGAAAGCATGCAGGCGGTCGTGGATGTTGATCCCCGCCCTTGCAGCGTTGCAGGTGGCCACCTGAATCAGAAACACGGCGAAAGTTTCTCAGCCCTCTGGAACAACTCAGCTGCACGAGCAAAGAGTGCAAGGTCCATGGTGCGACGGGGGCCCTCGGGAGCTGTCTTACAGTATTGCTTCCGAAGCTTCTCAAGTTTGCGAAGCCGTTCTTTGGCTCTGATGCGACCAAAGATGCTCGGGCACGCCGTGTGGTGCCGGCGGGCAGCCGAGTGCACAGTGAACGGGGCACCACAGTCATTGCAAAACCAAGCAAGCCTAAACAAGGTGCGGCGGCAAGTGATACCCTGGCATTTTTCAATGCACCCAGCATGAGGCCATCTGAAGACAGTGAAGTTGCCTGGGATGGTATCGGCTTTGGCCTCCTCGTTTTTCTTGTGGCGGGTCTTGGTGCCCTTGGCCGACCGCTCTCTGTCAGAGACCCGCCGCCACACCTTCCAACTAAGTCGGGGATGGGCCGTGGTCTTGTGCAAAAGCTGGTGTCTGGCGATCCTGGGTCCGCCAGCTGAGGAGGAAGCTTCAAGGGAAATGCCCCAATCGCAAAATTTGCACCGCCAAAACACCTCCTGATCAGCAGAGAGTGGCGTGACGAGGCTTGGCAACGTTTTGCTGAAGGCAATGCCTGAATGGCTTTCCCCGGGATGTTGGGCCCGATAATGGGCCTGAAGCTTCCGCTGGGCAAGCGCATCGGTATCGCAAGCGCACGGGATCTTGAAGGGGCAAAGTCGGCATCGTGCAAAGCCCGCCTGAGACCACAGGCAACAACGAGGCCGGCCAACGGAGCGTTTCACCTGGACCGGCCCATCATCACGGATCTGAGCCAGGTCCCCAACGATGGTGTCACAATCCTCGGCTTGCCTGTTGGATGGTTGCTTGCGCTTACGGCTGCAAGGTCTGTCAGCAACAGAGCCAACTTGGGGTGCACGCATAGAGGGTGCTCTCGCTCTCTGGTTGGGCACCTCGGTCCAGACGGTGCCGGCCTGAGAGGCCGCGGCTGCTGAGTCAGCCGACTTCGTCCACACCGTGGCTGTAGTGAACACCGAACCTGCGGCCGAGGAGGCTTTGCCTCCCGCGCGATAGGCATAGCTTGGGGCAGCCTTAATCTCAAGGACACCACTAGGGAAGGGACACGACTTAGGGGTGGCACCTTTGTCCTTACAATTGGCAGGGAGCAACAAATAAATCCATATGGGAGACAGGATCCCCTGACAACCATCCCACAACAATGCGTTCCTTGGCTTGCGAGTGGAACGACTCGCACGGCACGGCAGCAAATTCTGGAATTATGATGACACGGCAATTGAAAAGTCGGGAGAAGGCTTTCACCTCAAGGGCTGACCCATACGTCCCGGCTTTCTCCATCTTGTCCAGGTAGGCCGCCCATGTGCAGGTTGCCTCAGGGGAGACCGGATCAGTCCCGTCATGAAGGGCTTCATAATGGTCCGAATGCTTTCGGAAGTGCTCCAGGATGCGTGCCCTAAGCTCGCGGGCCGAGAGGTTGATCGGTGACTTGGCTCCAGCCGTGGCCCACTTGAGGCCGGCAGCAAGCGTGCTAAAGACACAATTGCCGTCACGAGGCATCGCAGTCAAAGTGAGGTCTTTGGGAACTGTGCGATGTGTCTCCTGAGCACGCTGTCGCTTAGCTACCGGGACCTCCTTGCCGCTTTCATTTGTCTCAACTGGTGGCTCAGTGACAACCGCCTGGTGGGGGAAGAAAGCCGGGGGCTCGACATGTGGAACGGCCTCCGGACGGAGACTCCTCTGCTTGAGCTTGCCGTGCCTGGGTGCGCTCCGCTCGCCCACAACGTGATTTCGGTCCCATCGTAGGTGGCGATAATCGGGAGGATGTCCTTAACCGCCTCGAACTGGGCCACGGCCTTAAAGTGGAAGGTCTTGCCCTGTCGGTTGCGGGTGAACTTAGTGATCACCGCGTCCTTGAAAGAGCCCTGCAACACGATTAGGGCCTCTGCTGTACCCCAGGAAAGAGGGGCTCCTTGGAGAATCCATTGCCGCTGGACGCGGTCACTGCTCTGGAGGTTTATGTCGGAACCCCAAAGAGGCCAGGCCCAGGTCACCTTTCCCCCGGCAGGCCCGTTCCAGGTAGTCAAGGTGGCTTTCCTCCTTAGTGGTGGCAAGCCACTCCACGCGAGTACTCATATCCTGTCGGCTGGGCTCGATAAAGACACCTTCCGTCCCGCTGCGTCGCAGGATGTCGGGGAGCTTGGCCTTGTCGGCCCGGACCAACCCTTCGTCAAAGAGCTACTTTAGCAAGTTGTGCGCCCAAGAAGGTCCGCACAACGTCTCGAGTCGGTCCAAAGAAAGAACAGCTGTAGCACAAACTCACGGAGTGCTAAGCTCAAACCGCCGCAGAGCCTAAAGGCCTGTACATGCAGCGTAAAAGCAAGGCAGGAGCACTGCCTGCTACGTAGTAGGAGCAGCACCAAATTTACTGCAACCAAAACGAGCGGTGGTGCACGCATGGTAGCTGAAGAGTCCGACATGCCGTGCTAAGCCACTCTTGTGAAAACTAACGCCAGCTGCACTAACGAACCACACTGCACAAGAGGTGAGAAAAAGCCCGGCCTCAGGAGAGTTCGTGGTGCCAGCTCAAAACAAGCGCCGCCCCAGCCACAGCCGCAGCAGCGCAAGAGAAAGTTCCCCTTCCCGTCGTAGTGGGAGACCCTGCAAGAAGCACCGAATGGCAGGGCAGCGAAGTTAGGAGCCATCAGGTGCCAAGCCACTTTCCCGGGGCCTGGTTCCTTTTGCTCGGAGGTAGCTATGGTAAGCCGTCGCGATAGAAGCGGCAGCTTCGATCGCCTTCACCTCCCACTCGGTGTTGTTCTGGACCCGGCGGGCCCACTCAAGGCGGCTGGAGCAGCGAAGCCGTCGCGCCATGCAGGCACCAGCGGCCTCATCCGCCGCAGTGTTCAAAGCCCGAAGTCGCAATGCACAGTGTCCTGCCGGTGGTTGCCACGAGGCTTTCTTTCCGTGCGAAGGCGTCCACAGCAGCTCCACACTGACTCCACGGTCACGAAGCTGTTGGCGAAGGGCACGAATCTCTGCGATGACGAACGTGAGGTTGAAGCCACTACCTGCCTCGATGGCCTACATAGCCGCCTCGCAGTCGACGACAAAGAAGACCTGGGAACAAGACCAGGGCCGCGACGAGGAAGAACTGGTCACCGCTGTGAGCAAGGCTTTGAGCATGTAGCCGATAGCCGTGACCTCTAGTCGGTAAGGCTCCTGATCCTCAAGGTCATCACCGAAGGCGAACGTCGCAGTGGGCCGCTGCACCGCGAAGCCCATGGCTCCGACAGCGTGTTTGCTGGAGCCGTCCGTGGCCAGGTAGAGGACGGAGTCATTGCAGTGCTTCAACACTGCCTCTGCTAGGTCCTCCTCGAATGAAGCTTTATCCACCACGGGAGGCGGTGGAAGTCGTCCAGAGAGTAAAGCAAACAGTCTTTCGGCTCCGCGGTCACGAGGAGGAGACAAGTCACCTCTGAGGGGGGCGAAGTGCTCACACGCCCAACAGAGGTGCGGACGGGAGGGTTGCTTCTTGCCGCAGGCACAGAACTGTCTTTCGTGCGTAGGTTCAAAGCCCCCTCCCGCGTTGAAGTGCCAGTTACTAGCACCAGCAGCCAAAGAAGCCAAGGTAAGGTTGCGGTTGGAGCCGGCCGCCTCGAAGAGCAACTTGTGGCCGCGAAAAGCGTACTCGACCGAAGGGGCTGGAGCAGGAAGGTCCAGGCCCACAGCGCAGTCCTCGGGTCGTCTCCGCGGCTTCCAAAGACGAGCTGCCTTAGCAACGTAGAGCCGTCGGTAGTGGAGCTGCAACCAGTAGCGAACACCCTCAAACGATTCCCTGCCGATAAGCAGGCGTCGCACGGTGCCAGTAGAGTCATGGCAGCAAAGTGTCTTTGGCGCCAGGTTCGTACCACCACTGTAAACGAGCGAGGAGTTCAGCAGCTCGAGGGAGTAGCTGAAGGGTGCTGTCCTGGTTATACTCTTCGTCATCCAGCTCCTCTACCGGTATCCCGTCTCCCATGGAAGTCTGGTTGGCCACATAGTTCAAACTGTTCTTCCACTCTTGTGCCAACTCA